GGGGGGAGGACCAGGGAGGATGATTCAACCACTCAACCACTAGATGTCGCTGAAAACAACAAATCCTACACACTGTGCCTTTAAAATCAGTTCACTTTCAAATTCATTTCCTGCTGGCGCAAGATTTATCCCGTGGGCCGGACACAAGTCACCCACGGGCCGCATTTGGCCTGAGAGCCTCGAGTTTGACTCGTGCATGAAAGTCTTTGAGAGTGTTTAAAATCCTGTTTTGTGCAGGTGAAGGAGGAGCTGAGCAAGAAGGCGGAGCGGCGTACCACCTGGGTGCTGTGGGGAGGCATGGCRTACATGGCCACCCAGTTTGGCGTCCTGGCCAGGCTGACCTGGTGGGAGTACTCCTGGGATATCATGGAGCCGGTTACTTACTTCATCACTTATGGCACAGCTATGGCCATGTATGCCTACTTTGTTCTCACACGCCAGGTAAGACTCAGGCGTGTGTGTGTACGTGTCATATACATCACAGGAAGGAGTTTACACAAAATGTGCTTTATTTCTTCACACTTGGACYCATGAAAAGACGAAGCAAACCAAAGAAATCCAACTGTATTTTTAGCTTTTCTTAAATGAATCAGTAACAGCTGAATTCACCTTTAATGAATAATTTTTCGCTCCAAGGACAGTTAATTTTATTCCAACCTGGTTTGGCTGAAGGACAAGAAAGCAGGACATCAGATAAACTGGTTTCTGTTCCAAACCGCTCCGTCTTTGTGCCCCTGTGCCCTGCAGGAGTACGTTTATCCTGACGCAAGAGACAGACAGTACCTGCTGTTCCTCCACAAGGGGGTGAAAAGGACACGCTTCGACGTCGAGAAGTACAACAAGCTGAAAGACGACATAGCTGAGGTGAACCTTTTGTCGGATGTTGGTTCAGAACTTGGATTTTATCCCATRTTTGCTGCCCCCTTCATGTTTTAACTGTCCTCTCTGTCCAGGTGGAGTTGGACCTGAAGCGCCTTCGAGACCCCCTCCAGCTTCAGCTCCCCATTCAACAGCTCACGGAAACTAAAAATTGATGGCAAGTTTGACTCCCTCCCTCTTCTCTGAGCTCCTGAAACTCGCTTTCTCTCCTCCTGCCATCCAATCCCCCCACCCCACCGCCTCCCTCCAAAAGAAAAAAAAAAAAGAAAACACCTTACCTCTTTTACCGATTATCCCATCCCTTTTCTTAACCGTGGAAAGTTTTGCTTTCTTCTTTGTTTGTTTTTTGTTTCGCTTTCCCGACTGAAATCTCCAGTTGGAATTCAGATGGAAAAATAGCTAAGAGCTGGAAAAGGAGGGTGAGAAGAGCTAGAACTGAAAACTTCTCACAGCCGAAGGATGAAGAGGATGATGATGGCTACAAAATCAAACTGGGCGCTGTTGATACGCCTCAAAAACTCTGGAGGAACAACCTGCAGGAAGCCGCGGTGATAAATGTGAATTATCACGCTTGTAGGCACTCAAAGACGGGGAACACACAGAGGAGTGACTTTTGTTGCGTGTGTGTGTGTATGTGTGTGTGTGTGTGTGAGGGACCATCGTTGGGACGGAGAACCGGGCCACATCGTCGGTTTAACCCGTGCAGGCTCCAGGGAAAAGTTTACACGAAGGAGTTCAGACTGCGGTCACACCATCAGGGAGACGCAGTTTTCCCTGCGGCTGGACTCCGCTGCCTCCTCCCTCCGAGCCACGCCCCCTCCTACGGATGACGGACAGCCGTCCCTTCCCGTGTGACCCTTCGTCAGGAGCATATCTTCCCTGGCAGGAAGCGGGAACGCCGACGCCTCGGCCCCTCCTTCCTGTTGATGTCCCGTAGCGACCCGGCGAGTCCTGAGAGTACTACTACCGACAACAACATCACTGTGTGTTCTTTTATTCCAAAAAATATATTTTGGCACTTTTTATTTTGAAAGCCATAGTATATTTGTTATGAAAAAAAAGTAATAAAAAGAATATATATGTATACAATCAAATAAACTAATGACCAGAGGCTAGTTTTTATTTTTTATTTATTTATTTTTGCCAGTGGGGGGAGGAGCTCTCTTGCGAACGTCATTTTTACGAGAAAGTCATTCGCATCCGCCTTGCCACGAAGTCCATCTGTAACAAAGCAGCAGAGTGTTGCACTGAATGCAATCATTGCTACCAACATTTTATGGGACAATGCAGTGCTGTGGAAAAGTATTTGCACTTTTGCAAAATTTTTCTTTTTCTGCTGTTTTTTTTTCACACAAGTTTCAAATCATCAAAGATAAGCTGAGTATATAGAAAATGCAGTTTTTACTTAATTTCATTTAATTAAGGGGAAAAATGCTAATCAAACCAATGTGACCGTATGTGATTTCCCTCGAAACTTAAGGTCCTATCAAAAAGAAAAAACAAGTAGGTCCTCTGGATGAGTTCTTTAGTGAAACGTTTCGTCTCTCCTCCAAGAGACTTCTTCAGTCTGAAGGGCTCGACACAGGGGAGGCAACGTCGCTCGCTCTCCATTCATTTCCTATGGAGCCTGTGCGGTGAGGCGACAATCACTTGCCCTCCTCCAGCTAAGCGACCGGTGAAAATAGTGCATGTGAAATTTCACGCTCGTACAYGTGCACATGCGAGCTTGCGACGCGACATATGAAAGTTGAAAAATGTTCAACTTTTGTTGCTGTCGCTTAGCATACAACCAATCAGCGAGGGTTTCATTGGCTGACCAATGAGAGGAGAGTATGCTACACACTGCAGTTAGCTAACACTTTCACCAAGTGATTACTAAAAAAGGCAGCTTAGTGGGAATTTATTGGCACCAGGGTGAAGTTTATGGTAAGTTTTTCTTCATAAAACTGTATCTTGATGTGTGTTTGTTTTTCAATATCATTAGCATCGCAAGATTTGTTTAGTTTACACGTCCGTAATGCACACCCGCCTTCAGAGTCAAGAACCAATCAAATTTYGTGAAGACAAGCGACCTGAGAGCGCGATTCGCAACGCTGCGATCGCTATCRCGTCCCGTGTGTCGGGTTTCACCCTGGCTGCGATGACAGCCGTTAATCGTTGTTGTTTGTCGCTGCCCGTGTGTCGAGCCCTTGATGAGTTTCAGGTGAACTCAGCCTTATAAGCACTGCCTCCACATGGACAAACAGGTTAGTCACATGCAAAAGAGGGCCATCGCCTAACAATAGGCTTGATTAGCTCTATTGTTCATAGAGGGTCTTGTGCCCCATCACCTGACTTATTGACCCTCTATGAACAATAGAGCTAATCAAGCCTATTGTTAGGYGATGGCCCTCTTTTGCATGTGAYTAACCTGTTTGTCCATGTGGAGGCGGTGCTTATAAGGCTGAGTTCACCTGAAACTCATCAGACTGAAGAAGTCTCTTGGAGGAGAGMCGAAACATTTCACTAAAGAACTCATCCAGAGGACCTACTTGTTTTTTTTTTTTTGTTTTGTTTTTTTTTCTACCTGGATCACTGAGATGCATCAGGACATTAAGGCCCTGTCACACTAGACAACTTATGCCAACTTATGAAACATTTTTAATGTCTAAATTGCTAATAAAAATTATATATTTGATCAATTTGTTTGAATTACATTACGTACACGCCGAAAAGAAGCTGTCTAGTAAGTTGTGTAGTGTGACAGAGTCTGTAGGAAGTAGATATGCCACGTTTTGCTGAAACAGCTGAAATCAAGTGTTTTTGGTGACAGAGTATTTCACCTGGCTGTAGAGGAATAGTTTTTGATTTTTAATATTTTATTTCATTTTGGTCAGCAGTGGTTTTGGAGAACACGCCCATGGATGTTCTTCTGGGATAACATCTGGATTTAAGTTTATTTTTCTTAATCACAGCTCTGGTAGTCTTTTCAATAAAAGTTCGTGTTGGTTTGGAAAACCTTTTTTTTTCCTCGCAAAAATAGAAATATCATTTGGAAACTGCATTTTGTATTTACTCTTTAATTGTTTTGTCAAAAACYAACTTTAGTTTGAAACATTTAAGTGTGAGAGAAAAGCAAAAACAGAAGAAACCTGAATAGTTTTTCTCAGTGTTGTGTAAATTTGTCCACTCTTGACGTTGACGTGACGCTGAGGCCACATCAGGGTGAAACTGGCTTTAATCAGAACTGAATGTTTGAGCAAAAACCAYGTGAATAACGCTGCGCTTTACTTCTTTAACCACATGGAAGCAAAAGCTTGTCGATTTGGTGAAATAAAGAGTTTTCTCCTCCCACTGCTGCTGTAATGCCCCCCTAATCCCCCCCCCACCTGCTCCCTCATTGGTAAGGCAGGGTAGACTGCATGCTGTGGTATGCCCTCAGTAGACATTTGTGAACATGTAGGAGAATTATTACAGTTTTATATCAAATTGGACACTTGTCTTTGTTGAGGTTTCATCATCCGTGTTAAATCAGTTATCAATATGTTCATTTTTTTACCCTTTTTTTTTTGGAGGGGGTCTTTATCAGCCTAACTGTTAGAGTAACGAGTGACCCATTGATCCCTTTCCTCATTTATCTTTAACAAACAAACAAACAAAAAACAACAACTTTTGACTCTTTGGATCACATCTGCAGGGGGAGGACTCTGTGGGCCAACATCATAGAACAGCATTCCAGAGGCGGAGCTAGGGTTTTTGGCAAGAGGTGGCCAAGGTGGGGTTTCTTTAGAGGGCACATACAAAGAAAAGCACTTCAAGATGGCCGCCACAGCTAATTCCAAATGGCTTTAATTCAGCTGTTTTAAGAAATATAGAGCTGAAATTTTGTGATCGTAGCTAAGAATGCTCAAATAAATTAGCTGAATGTTAGTCACAACTTACTATTCGGCCATTTTTAAACACAGAGCTGAAGATTTGTGTAGAAGTGGCTGAAAACAACCCAATTCTAAATTCTAATCGAAAATTCAAGATGGCCACCACAGCTAACTTTAAAAACCTAAAATTCGGCCATTTTAAGATTTATGGAAATGAAATTTGTTGTGGAGTAGCGTAGAATGATCACGTGCCGATTCTCGATGCTAATCCCAAATTAAGCCTAATGGCTAATCATACATGTCAACTTGTACGGATTGTCTGTAAGTTCTAAGGATTTTACGTCATTTTGCAGGTATATGGACGTATAGAGCAATCTCACGGATTTTTTCAAGTCTTATGGGGTTTTTTTGCAAAATTTACGGATTTTTGATTCTCTATATACAGGTAAACATCCGAAGAGGTTGACATGTATGGCTAATGCTAATTTTGCTAATGGCTATAATTCCGCAAATTTTAAAAATGCGCAACTAAAATATTTATATAGTACAAAGAACAATCGTTAAACAAACGCAAAATCCAAGATCCCCAGCCACTTGTCAGTTATTTAGGGGTGGTACCTGGGGTGGCCTATCAGGTGCCAGAGGTGATAATTGCCGCCCCGCCCACCCCTCTGGCTCCGCCCCCTGCAGAGTTCCAAATAGTCTCATGCTTTTTTGTGCAAAACACTTGGACGAATCCTGCTGAGGAGATCGAAACTGTGGATTTTATACTAAAATGCATGTTTTTGGGATGAATCAGAAACTAGTCTTGCAGATCTCACGACAGGATTCGGGCCGATCTGGATGTGTGTTCCTGTTTGTGTGTGTGTGTGTGTGTTATCCTTCAGAAAAAAACGGTGCCTTTTGGATAATAAATGATTTGAACTTTGTTGACAAGGCAGCACGTACGTCTGAGACAGGACGGTGTGAGAGACTTGGAAATGGTTTGTCACAAAACAGAAGGTCCAGTTGAGGCGTTTTGTACCTGTTGATCCTTGAGTTACTGCTTGTCGATATTAGTAAAAATCAGTTCCATCCTCATCTCACCTCTGTTGCCAGCTTTAAATGTATTTTTCTTTGAAGCTGTCAGCTTTCACACACACATACTTCAACACACACAAAGAGCTTTGAGGATCTTGGCCGTGTACTGAGAAATCCAGCTGTTTGTGGTCCGGTCCTCCCCTCTGCTGTTTAAAAACAAACCTCTCCATCATCACTTCCTCCTCCTTTTTCTCATCCCATCCACCGTTAAATGCCTTTTTATTTGACTTTATTTTTTATAAACAAACTATATCAAATATAGGGAAACTTATTCTAAAGAGGGTGTTGCATGAATGTATGTTTACATGGGAAAATATGTAAAAACAAAAAGATGATTTATTAAAATAAGTGCAAAGATAATTTAAGAACACTGTAGAGATTCCTAGTTCTAAAGGGCAGTGAACAGAGCTGCGTCTTTTAAGGTCTGCTCTGCCAAATGTGGTTTAAGAYCCCCCCAGCCAACCCCCTGAATCAGCTCCGTCTTCATTTTCTGTCCCATAATCCCACCCTGACGGTGTCCATGTGGACCTATACAGGAGGCTGCGTCAGCCACACGCTTTAAACTGATGGGAGAACACCTCCAGTTCTTTCGTTCTTGCCTTTTTTTTCTTACTCCTTAAGTCTTTAATTTTTCCACCCAAACTCTCATTAATATTCAATGTTTTAAACATTTATTTGAAATATTTTATTTGTTCATTTACTTGTTCAGAAATGCTTAAAGAGTGAAGCTGAATATTGGATTGAAAGGATCTTGTTCTTCATCCTGACCTCTTGTTTGAGTTGATTCTTTGTTTTTTTTTTTCTCTCTCTCCAAATGACATGATGCTGTAATGTTGGCAAAAAAAAAGAGCAAATGTAAAATCCTGTATCATTTATGAAATATGTATAAAAGAGAAATGTAATACAATTATCAATAAAATCCTTATCCAGTTTTTGGAGCCGGTGGTCTGAATGCAGATTTTTGTTGTTTTGTTTCTTGTGTGATTTATGTGACGATGTTTATAAAAAGCAACTCAAGGTCTTGGTGGTATCCTCCAACTATCCGTGGCCTCAGGTTCTTCCTCTGCAGGACATCCTAAGAGATAGATGTGTGCCATCAGTTGAACTGAGAGAACTAAACAGTGAGGCACCAAAATATGACGCAAATAGAAAATTTCTGGCTAATTTTGGGGGCCTTAAATCTTAGATTGATCCTATTTGTGCCACAATTTTACCTTTTAAATGTATAAAAGTCCACTTTGGCAAGTTTTATAAACAAATAAGTTAAAACCTAACAAGATGTTGGCTTTTTCTTTGTTCAGTACACCTCGTAATCTGGATCCCATTTATTTCACAAGACATTAAAAGAAAACATTAGTTCTGTCACCAGTGGAAATAATCAGCTGTTTTGGTCATTTTTTTGAGTCCAAATTGGCCTCCAGGTCAGCAGAATTAATAAAAGTTATTCTCAGAAACTYGTGATCTTACTTTTCAGTCGTCTTCCTTTTTGTTGAGTAATCTCATTAAAGCCTTTAAAGGTCWGTTTGGGCCAAGAGACGAGGCTTTGGTTGTTAAGACCTTTTTAATGTCTGTATAATCCTGGACCCTGGAGGGAAACTCCTGTTAAAACAACAAAGAGACGACAATAATGTGTCTAAAAGAGAAAAAAAAACTATTAATCTGACAAAGCAACACGGGCGCAGTGCCAAATATGAGCTTCATAATAAAGAATAAAGAATTTAAACAAGCGTTCAAAGCAAAAATAATAAAGTTTTACATTTAAGTTGGGTGCTGGTTTGATCTATCTGTGCAGCCACGGTGTTTTCTCTCTAACTGTTCTGACTCATTGTTTTCAGTTACCTCGTGGATTCATTTTCATATTGATTAAAGCGCTTAGAGAAAAGAAAAGTTTAATTTCCTCAGCTTCTAAAAAAAAGAAGCACAAAGGTCTTTATCTTTTCTAAAATAAATCCTGAGTTCAGATAATGTTCAAGTAAACGATGTTTGAGCCAAGGTCCACACTCTTCCTCAGAGTAATAGAAGCTGGTTTTCCCTACGATGTGGGGACCTATTTGGGCATACACACCTATTTATGGGGACCTGAGCCTAGGCTTCATGAGGGGAAATGCTGTTGGTGGGTCAGGAGTTAGGTTCAGATGCTAAAGTGTCAATTGGGTTTAGGTTTTAGGGTCAGCTATGTACCTGTGAGGTTATAGTTTAGGGTTTGTGGTCAGGGTTCGGCTGTAGAAATGAATGAAAGCCAATGCAAAGTCCTCATAAAGATAGCTATACTAGACCAAGGATGTGTGTGGTTGTGGGGGAGAGGGTTGGAGGACTCTCAGACTGAAACAATGGGAGGGTGGTCCTGCCTTGGGATTGAGGATCAGGGTGAGAAAGAAACGTTTGGAAGCATCAGTGAACCTTCATCTGCAGCTGGRGTTAGAAGTGATGAATCATGATTTCTCTGATAATCATCAGTTTCCTGCAGGAGGCGTTTGCAGTCGCAGGTGTAGGTGAGTATTAATCTTATATTTACACATTAAACAAACAACCTCCAGCTGTTTTGTAAAGACACATCAGTAAACTTGAATTTAACTCCTTTGCTTTTGTAATCACGATTTCTTTTTCTGTAAATTTAGCTGCAAAAATCAGTTCCAGCGTGTGTTTTTTTTGAAGCATTTACAAGTTTTGCAAACGTGTCGCCTTCGAATCCAAACAGATACAGATAAAGTCTAATACAATATCTGTATTTAACTCTACAAAGGTTMAAGGTCATGACAGGACAATTAAAAAAAGTGAACAGTTGTGGTTTGTTTGAAAGAGTTGGAAAAAAGAAAACTTATCTGCTCTTAAAAAAATCAACAATTTGGAAGATCAGCCAACTGTAAAGCACGGTGGTGGAAGGCTCATAGTTTGGGCTCGAATTGAACTCCTCTGTAGACCAAAAGAGTCAGAAGTCAAATATGAAGCTATCCGAATGACAGCTGGGACAGTAAATCCCTAAACAGTAAATAATTGTCTAGGAAAAATAAATGATCCTTTAAAGTCCTGCATTTCTTCTCAGGCCAGGAGTCAGTGACCTCTTTTACTTACCTTAAAATGTCATGTTTTATGATTTTACTCTTTATCTTCTGTTTTCTCTCTGACAAAGTGTTTTAAGATCAGGACAATATCTGTTAGAAGTTATCATTCTTGTTGCTGTTTTTATCAAACATCATTCTCTCCTTGCAGTTTTAGCACCAAGAGAGATGTTTATTGTCTGTCTGGATGACAAACTGTATAAATGCGTGTATTTGAATCTGCCTCGGCGCACACATTTTGTACCACTGCCCTGTCTGACATGATGTGTGTCTTGCAAATTGCAGTAAATCCCATTTTCACAGAGTAGCTACTTTTTATTTTTGGATCTCGTGTTTCTGTCTAGGTAAAATAAAGATTTCCACGACAATATTGGCCAATATTTTTGGTGGAAATCTTTATTTTACCTAGACATAATYTACAACAAAACAGTTGAGAAAAAAGAAAAGAATCCAGACCTCAACTTTACTGAAACGCTATGATGAGACCTAAAGAACGCTGTGCAGAAACCTGAATGAACTGAAGTAACGTTGTAAAGAAGAAGGGTCTTACAATTGGAAAATTAAAAAATTCTTGTTCTCATAATTGCTCGTATTGTATAAATCAAAGCAGTTAATTAAAGCAGTTCAGTGTAACGGGGGATCACATCCAGAAAGTGTGTCAAACTTCAGCCTATTACCAAAAAATAATCCAAAATTCCACATATTGTGAGTTCATCAGCTCAGACAGGAGTTCTGAGTCGCTCTCATTACGTCTCTGAACATTCAGGCTCCATCTGGAAGATTTAACGCTCACATTAACATAACCCCACATGAGTCAGCTCCGTCCTCACCGACCCTGCTGGGCAGCCGGAACTGGAGCAMTCCGGGTCAGCCGTACGTCTCCCCTCCCAAAATAAAAACGGTTGTAAAAGCCGACAGGCGGGCCTGAGCTGTATGGATTCATCCCTCAGCTTTTTATTGCAGCGTGGCAGAGAGAAGACGGAGGGCCGATGAGTGGAGGGAGGGAGAAAATGCTGCGTGTATGCTTTGTAGCTTCATCACACATAAATAAGTGTTGAGAGCTGAACTAAAAGCCAAAAGTTTGGAAGACATATTGATATTGTTGAAGATGTTTGGCCCGAGCTTGATGCAGATCCAGGAAAAGGTGGACKGATCGGTAAAGATGATGGACTGAACATTTTTCTCACTCGTTAACAGTCTCAGCTCCTCGTGTTGTCTCCTTTTGTTTCACGCCTGCCTGCTAATTACACCGCCGAGCGAGCGTCGAGAGGGGAGAGAAACTAATAACTGTTTTGCTGCCCTCTGTTTACTCCTTCAGCTCTGTTGTTTTCCTGATGCTGTCCGTGATTAGCTGTGGAGAACAGAGTCAACAGACAGAACTCCCCGAATAAAGGGCTCAGTGTTTGAAAGCTGGTTGGCTTTTATTTCTCTGACACCGGGGCGGGGGTGAGGTGGGACCGAGCTCCCTCCAAGCTGGAACTATACAACCCCATATCCAGTAAAGTTGACGACGTGTAAAACATGAATAAAAACAGAATTTGATACCTGCTGGGACAGAGGGCAACAAAAGTCTGGGAGAGCTGAAGAAGGTTGATGGGCATTGTTATGGATTAATTATGTATATCTGTTCTCCCTTGACACTGTCCAGTAATCATATCTCATGATAACTAGTTTCGGCTGTTTTACTTTATCAGCCCAGACTTCAAGACTCCAGCAATGCATGACCTCTTTTATTCTGATAAGGTGTTTCCAGGCTGACAGCCCTGTCATTGGTTAGATGGTTCACAGTTGGCGAACTGTGATTGGTTGTAAGCATGTCACAGGATGTTATATCATCGGCTGCCACAACTTAGACTTCTCTGATTGACTTCTGCTCTGTTGTTGCTCAAATTAAATCATTTGACGACCATACACGCAGACTTTCTGTGCGTTTATTCCAACGTGTTTCTGCATTCGTGGCAAATCGTGCCACCACAATCTTTGGCGTTGTCTGAAGGGAGCTCCAAGTACCGGAGTTTTGCCCGCAGCGACCGACGTTTTCAGATGACCACTGGACAATGGGAAAAGATGGGTTTTTCTGAGGAAGCTGACCTGTCTTCCTCTGGGAAGGGAGGGAGCATCCTCGTAAGGCTCAGTCGTTTACAAGCGGGCGAGGTTCGCCACTTTGTGAGCAACTAGTCCCAACAGTTTAAGAAGGTTTCTCAACGTCCCAGCTAGGGCTGCGCGGTATACGCGATAGACGGTAGAAACGAAATGAAGTTRGCCTACGGTAGAAATTTACCCTCTGCCGTCCTGTCGTCCTTACGTCATCGCACCTGTGTGAACAGGGCTGCAAGTGCAGAGACAACTGGGCAGGAGGAGTTTGAAATATAATGAAGAAATTAGTGTTTTAAAACGCGTATAAAGATAAATCCTCAAGGAAATTAGTGTTTTAAAACGCGTATATAGATAATAAATCCTCAAGATTACTCCCTGCCGCTGTAGAGTGAAGCCATAGTTTTTTCACACCCAAGTTGTCGGAGGAAAAAAAATTTGTTTTTTATGTATTGTTACCCACAGAGGTGATAAAAAAAAGACATTGACGTTCGTTCAGTCATAAATCCATCTTGCTAATGTAGCCTAAAGTCSGCTTCTGCTCTGATGATGAAGATGAGAGCGCAGCAGAGCAGCAGCTGATAAGTTCAGCAGGCAGAAGCTCATTGTATGGCAGGCAGGTGTTACATTTATTTGGCTTCACCACACTTACATTCCAGTTAACTGGAATTGTTTTATGACAGGATAATATGCAGCTTAATGTCCTGTTACACCATAACATTTTAGGCAACATTGAATTTTTTATGTCTAAATGACTAATTTTACTTGCAATACTGGTTATAAAATCGACTTTATTTTGATATTGTTGAAAATTTGAAAAAGGATTTTGTTTGTTGTTGAAACCGTTTTGCAATGTATATAAAACATTTTTCTGTACTTCTGTTATGTTCATTTGCACTACAGCAAAATTACTGGCTTTGATTATGATTACAGTTTCCTGCAAAATAAATGCTCTAAAAATTACCTTTTTGCTTTTTATAATAAATTTCTACCGTGATATATACTGTTACCGTGAAGGGATCCAATTTATACCATGATATGAATTCGAGGTCATACCGCCCAGCCCTAGTCCCAGCTTATTTCTGCAAGACAGAAAATAAACATTCCCTTTTTTAATGTTTTACGCTATGTCTCAACTTGATTGGAGTTGTGGTTGCACTTTGGGGCCCTGTTATAATTTTTTCTAAACCGTTCAAGTTASAAAATGTTTTTAAGGGTGCTGCAGGTATGGAGTTGAACTGGATCAGCATTCATGCAAAGTTTCATCCAAGCCACAAACACATACYCCTTATTCATGGAAATTGTAGCAATTTAACTTTTACCCCCAAAAATATTTCAAAATGACCAATCCTGAACTGTCAGATCATCAAATAGACATAAAAATAAAAAAAGGTTTACTTTCCTACACTTAATAGATTTGTCTTTTAAAATCTCTTTCTCCACTCTAGTGTAATGGGTAGGAATTGGACTTTAGTTCTTTGTGCTCACAGCTCTGGAAAATTACATCTTTTAAACTGTTACAGAGCAAACTGTGAGCAATTTTCATTGGAGCTACCCAGGTGTGAAGACTAATGGTTGTGAGGCGGAGGTGGCAGGAACTTGTTTGGAGTTTCTCGGGAACATTTTCTGCCTCGATTTGGAGGCGAAACGAGGAAACAAACAAACTGAGAAACAGCTGGAGTCAAGTTGGACAGGTTTTGACAGTTGTAATCTCCCAGCATAAATCTGTATAATCTGACTCACTGACAGGTTGTCTGAGGGTGACGTTTAGTTTCCACCCTCTGGCGCCATAAAGGAAGCGACAACAAACACTCAGCAGCAAAAAGCTCAGTAATAACAACTGATCTTGCACTACGAATTTTCTCAGAAGTTTACCCAAATTGCGAGGTTTTCCTGTTTCCCCTCAGCCCTGGACCCCTGCTCTGCCTACATCAGCCTGAAYGAACCCTGGAGGAACACAGATTTCCACGTCAACCAGTCGTCCAGCAGGCCCCTGTGTGACAGCCACGTGTCCGGGGAATGGTACCGCTTCACTGGCATGGCCGGGGACGCCATGCCCACCTTCTGCATCCCCGAGAACCACTGTGGCACCCACGCCCCCATCTGGCTGAACGGCAGCCACCCACAGCTCCACGACGGCGTCGTCTCCCTGCCCGTGTGCGCCAGCTTCAACGACAACTGYTGCCAGTGGAACGCCAGCGTTGACGTGAAGGCTTGCCCCGGAGGATACTTCGTGTACCGCCTGCCCAGACCCTCCGTCTGCTTCCACGTCTACTGTGGCCGTGAGTGAGCTCGAGACGTGTTCAAAACAGATCCCAGCTTTTCATCGGACCGATGTTGTGTTCGTGTGTTCTGCACAGATTTCTACGACATCTGTGATGAGGTTGAGTGCACCGGCCCCAGCTGTCCCGCATCCGACTGTCGCTGTGGACCTGGAACTGTCCTGGGTCCAGACAGACAAACGTGTCTGGGTGAGAGAGGGAAGGGGTGGAGAAACTGTGCAAGAGACAAAGATAAGCCAGAAAAAAAAAACACCTAAATTATAAGAAATGCATTAATTTTTGCATAAATATCAGTATTTTTCTGAGTTTGGAGAATATTTGGTAGACAGGTTTGTTTGGGCATATTGGAAATTAAAAACATGATTTGCAAAATGCGTCCTGATGCATTTCAATAATCCAGGTGTACAAATCTAACAAAGTTAAGCAGGTCCTTTGGGCGGGTTCTTCTTTGTTGAAATGTTTTGTTCCAAGAGATTTTTTCAGTCTGAGGAGCTGCAACTAAATTCTGCCTTATAAGAAATACCTTTCCATAGTAGATCAACCAGTTTACTGGTGACACCTGCAAAAGAAGACCATCAGCCTATCAACTGATCTTTACATTGTTGCCTATTGTTCTCAAAGGGCTGTGTAATACTCGCAATAACAGCATTTTAAGACTGGGAAAATTGARCACGGAGGCCTCCACCCTGTTTGTTGATGGATGGCTTCTCTTCACCAAAATAACTTCCTTTACTCCTCTCAAACCAGCATTCCTCCCTATAAAGGATGAGAACCAAGGGCGTAACTTTAGGTCGACCATTGGGGGGTTATGCTCGAAAGCCTTGCGTGTCATTTTCAGAAATTATGCTTAAACGTACATATATGACATTGAACATGTTTAAACCAAGTCAAAGTTACCTAAAGACAACAAGATAGTTGCATCTGTGTACTTAATCAGTTAATTTCCATTGTGTTTGAGCAAATGATGCTGTTTTATTGGGGGAGTTATATTGACTGGATCAAATTATTGTGGGGGTCATAAACCCCCTAAACCCCTCCTGAAAATTACGCCAATGATGAGAACATCTTCATCCCTGAAAGAGTGACTGCTGGCCTGTAGATGAATGTAAACTGCAGAGTCCTGGCCTGATGATGAAGTTCTTCTGTGCTGGGCCATCCTTTTGAACAGTGACTGCTTTGTTTCCCTGACGGATAACTGGTCCCAGTCCTGCTGTTTGTGCCAGGGGACTGGATCTTTGGGGTGAATCTGTTTTTGCTGTAATGCATTTTGGGCCTTGAAAGCCACTGGGACGTCGTATTTAGAAAATAAATGTCTCAGTTTTTCTGGATCTCCTGCAACACACGAAATGACCACTGGTCTGGGTCTAAAGGTTCTGCTCACATGGCTGAGCTTTACTCCGACTCCTCAAACTAAAGAAGTCTCTTAGAGAGGAGACAAAACATTTCAACAGAGAAGAACCTGTTCCACAGGACCTGACTCAACTTTGTTACAAAATGCAGACCAAAACATAAAAATGTTTCATTAATATCCTTGGCCATTTTACAATGGTTAACCTCAAGCTCCAATTCAGTACTTTTATCCAGCCTTTTGAYGCTTTTGAATCTTTGAACAATTCAGTTTCAGCTTTATCAAGATTCAGCAGACATTCAGTGCTCAGTTCTCACTGCTTTTTTTTCTGAAATTGTAATTTATTCAGTTTTGATTGATTGCATAAGTTTTGTGATTGTGCAGCACATGCTCTGGTTGGTATTTTGCAGTAAAACAAGACTTTTTATTTGCYTTTCAGTAAAAATATATTTAGTTTTTTTTAAGCCCTTATTTGACCTCCATCTTTGTTGTATAACACCTTAACGTTTCAATCTGACAAAACAGCTGTCTCCATCTGCTTCAAGCCATTTAAATGTACTAATTAGTGGTTTGTACACTCATGTGTTYAACCTACAAGATTGTCGGGACACGGTTTGATTTGCATTTCATGGGTTTAGCCCAATCAAGCTAATTATAGTCTGMGACATTGGTTAAGGTTTTTATAAGGACCTGCTTTTATTCCAGTGTCTTACTTTGACTCCAAATGTTRATGATTTTCTGATGTACAGATGAGTTTCATGCACACAGAGACACATGCAAAACCATTATTGCTGCTTTGCTTTTTGGTTTCCTTGATAATAATTCCACTTAAAACTTTAACSTTTAGTCTCTTGGAGCTGGGTTTCTTTAATCGTTGTTTTCAGTAGATTTGATGTTTGAAGAMAATGGCAACATATTTGAACTCAGATGGGTCTCAGCTGTTAACACATCGCCCCACACTCTGGCCGCACAACTGAAGCAGTTCTGCCTCATTCACTTATTGAGCCTCAACAATTTTAATATCAGTTATGTAAAATGAGTTCCTTTGACAATTTAATTAAACTACTAAACTGGAACAACTCCAGYCTGGTTTTTACATCCGTCTCAGCAAAAACAAACTATGAACTAGTGACTAATTGAATATAAATCAGTGTACATGTGTCTGTTTATGTGTGGTCTCTAATAATAAGTGACTAACATGGAGTCCAGGAGCCAAACTGCGGTTATCTCATCATCCCTCATCAACCTGAGCTTCAGTCCTCCACCTTCACTTTAACTTTTGTCTCCACTCTCGTTCCATCCATCATTATTCCTTTATTGTCCCTCTCTGTGTTAACTCCACTTTAAGCTCCCTCAGAGTCCATCTGTCACTCCTCCCAACTATGAGAAATTAAATAAATTGCCTGAAGGGGAAAAACTCCACCTGTTTGGAGCTCAGTGGATGAAAACCAAACTTGTGACGATTATGGGGTGCCATTTGTAAAGTTACAGTCAAAAATTACCACCAATATTTTTGTTTTATTGAACCTTTTATAAGATAAAAAGAACAGATTTATTTTTCAAAGTCAGTTTTTCACCATATGATCCATACATTTATAAATGTCATAGTTTATAAACTAAATATTTAACTTACAAATTAAATATTTAGTGAACAAGCT